GGGCCGAGTTGGCCAGCAAAGCTCCGGAACTCCTGGTTGCCAGAGTGGATCAGGTAGCCCTGAAGGCGAGGGTGGTCCCCGGCACCCGGAAGCCCGGCGTGGGCCCAGCAGAGGAGGAGCAGCGACGGGAGCAGCTGCTGCAGGTCCCCAGGGTGGGCGGGCACCACGTGCCCTAAGAGCTGGTGGAGATGCAGCGCTCGCGGCTGTAGGGCCTGGAAGCAGACGGCTGGTGGTGTATCCTTTCCGTGGAGCCTCCCTGGGCTGGGGCAGCGGTGCGGTGGCAGGGTACATGGCGGCCGCCTGCGGAGGGAACGGAGGGGAGCACAGGGCACAGTCAGGGGCAGCAGGGGCGGGCAGCCTGGCAGGAAAGGGGATTGTCAATGCCTGAGGAGCCTGGAGGGTGGGGAAGGACCAAAGGATTAGGGAGGCGGCTCCGGGCGGTCTCATCCTGGGGTAAAAACGGGCCTCTGCGGTGTGGGCAAGCCCGAGATACCAGCAAATTCAGTGACGGATGGTGCCTTAACCACGTCTCCCCCAGCAAGCTCACAGTGCTTTTCCGACCCCCCCTGGAGGCACACATGGCCCACAGAGCTCTGATCCCAGATGCCCAGCGTGACCAAGGCGTGGTTCGGGAGGAACATAGAGTGAATGGCAGTGCCCTAGCTATGTGAGTTCTAGAAGAGTCTGCCGTGGGGGTGGGGTCGGTGGCAGGTGCTGGGATCTGATCTCTGCCTTGAGTGCTGTGATGGGGGCGCTGACGGGCTTGGTATAAGGAGGGGGCTGGGGGCTGGTGCCCTGGACCTACATGAGCGATCTCCCCTTTAACCTGATTTTCCTTTTCCCTCACTTGTAGTAGATGGACTGCTGAAGACCTTGTTCTCTTCCGGATTTCCATCAGCTCCTCCCACGATCAGCTTTCCCTGGTGATTCAGAATGTTCAGCGCCCTGGGCCCCCGCCTCCCTAAAGGCTACGCGAAGGAAAGGGGGCTGAGGCCTAACCTTGTGTCGCCTACTAGGCAAGGCTTAGGGAATTCAAACTTGACTAGTCACCACTTTGTCATTTGGGTTTAATTTTTTGCCAGTACTGGCCCTTGCTATCTCTTGGTTCACTTGTTTTGTTTCCCTGTGGCTCGTGGAGTGGGATGCTTCAATGTGTATTACTGCAGAAAATAAAACTAGGCCACTGTTTTGTGTCACAGTTTCTTTTCAGCTAATGCATTTCTGGATTTTTTATCTTTGTCCTCGTGTTGGAGGGAAGGTTCTGGAATTCAGATATTCCAGTAGTACAAGGTAATTGAAGACAGTTTAGGAAAATGAAAATCAAGCCCGATGTTCAGCACTAAATACTGTCAACATTTTAGAACTATTTTTTTAGTTGTACTTGCACAGTAAATGTATAACGGTATGCAATGTAGAAGTTATCAAGTTTAGCATTAAATTTTTTCCTGACTTCTTTTCATTTAACATACTAGCTTTTCCACCTTCTAAAAACTCTTCAAAAATATGTTATTGAGTGGAGGTATATAAGATGCACCATAATGTAATCATTGAACATTTAAGTTGTTTTCAATTTTTTCATTACTATGGTTAACGATTCAATGGAATTCATGTATATGATTCTTTCCATGAATGGTTATTTCCTTAAAGTATATTCCAAAAGTTAGAAATACTTTCCTATTTCTTTTTTGAGACTCTTGATCACAGGGAATTCCCTGGCGGTCCAGTGGTTAGGACTCCATGCTTCCACTGCAGGGGGCACGGTTCGATCCCTGGTTGGGGAACTAAGATCCTGTAAGCCACACGGCATGGAAAAAGAGAGAGAGAGAGAGAGAGAGAGGAAACGGACTGTCTTAAAAAACAGAAAAAAGACTCTATCATAATTTCTCTTCAGAAAATATACCTACTACCAGATTTCTGGTTTCCCAACATCCTTGTCACAATTGGCTTGGTTTCCTACTAAAATTAAAAACTTAGTTTGCACAAGAAGAGCAAAACCCTAGGCCCAGTACAATAACAATGTTGTGGCTGACTGGGCTTGTTTCAGATTCAGTGCAGAAAAGCGCTGGGACAAGCACAGTGCGGTGAGCGCTCGGGCCGGCGGAGTTTTATCCTGTGATCTTGCCGAACTCACTGACTAGTTCTCCTCACTCTTGTCCATTGCATTCGGTTTTCTACATAGACAGTCATGTTGTCTGCACATAGTTTTACTTCTTCCTTTCCAATTGGGATGTCTTTTATCAATTGATCTGTCTCCTCATAATGGGTTGGATTCTTCTGAAGCTTAGCATACCCTTTTCCTTGGGTGCTGGGTATTTTTTTTCCTAAGTATATTCCAGAACTTCAAAAACTCTCATATTGTTAACTTACTTGGAGACAGTTTGATCCTTTGGAGTCTTGCCTTGAGACTTTATCGGTGGGAGCAGAGCAGCTTTTAGTTCTCCACACTATTGAGACAAGATCCCTCTGAGTACTGTATATGATGTTACCCGAATTCGGAGTTTCCACTAGCGGACCCTCCGCCCTTGGGCACGGTTCTCTCCCTGTGCCGCTGTGTCCTCTCCTGTCCTCCACCCGCCAACTCCGGCTGAGTGCGCTCTGCGATCCACCCCCGAGACCCGGGGAGGCGGCTGGACTCGGTCCGGAGAGTCCGTGTAGACAGCAAGCTGGGGAAGCTGCGCGGCTCACCTCTTCGGGGTCTCAGCTCCCAGAGATCCCTGACGGTCCTCCCTCACCTGAGGCCCAGTTTCTTCACAGCCTGTGTTTCATATATTTTGGCTGCATTTAGGGGATTCTTTCAAGCCAGTGCGGGGGAGATCCGGTCCCTGTTCCTGCATGTGCGTGAACGGAGTCTGCCGGCACAGAACCCAGAGAGCTCTGGCAGCGTGGGCTGGAGGGAGGGAGATGCTGGTGCTGGGGATGGTGGCGGTGGGCGTGGCGAAGACGGTGATGATGGAGCATCTCCCCCGCCAGCACGCAGCAGCGCTGGTGGCTACGGTGATACTACCTTTCAAAATATGTCAGATCACGTCTCCCCTGCCTAATTCCCTTCACGGGCTCCATTCTCACGCAGAATATAAGCCAGAGGTCCTTGTAATGGCCAGCAAGTCCCCACATTCTGATCTGTGAATCCCCCATTGCCTCTCTTACCTCCTCTGCTCTCTCTTGCTCACTCCACACCAGCCATGCTGGCCTCTTGCCTGTGCCCTCAATATTCCAGGTTTTCTACTGACTTGGGGCTTTTGCACAGTCTGTTCTCCCTGCCTTGAATGTGCTCTCAAATACAGCACCTGGCTGACTCTCTCATCTCCTTCGAGTCTGCCCAGATCTCATCTTCTCACTCTGCTTCTTCCTGTGGCCACCAACAGCCCAGTGCACAGCCAATCCTCTTCCTGCTGTTCTTTTCCATACCACTCATCACCTTCTATGATACAGTATAATTTACAAATTGACTTTTTATTTCCTGCCTCTTCCTGATAGAGGTAAACCACTATTCTGACTTCTACCGCCATAGAGTATGAACGTGAATTAAAAGTCTCACGCTGAAGAACAGAAACATGGAAATGATTTAAAATTTCAAGACAGATGTAAAACAGGTAGGATGCATTTGTTTATACAAAGGTAAACAAAGGCTAAAACTCATTGAAATGGAGGTTTTGACCATGAAACAAAGACCAAAACAACAGTGCTGGATGGAAGCCAAATGGCTCTGATAAGGCAGAGGGGACGCGTCCCATGGACTGTTGTGCCCTCCACATGGAGCTCCCCCAGGAACCGATGTCTACGTGGCGGCAGAGTGGGGTCAGGTTCGTTATCATCCTCGTGGGGCTCCAGTGACCTGGCAGCCGTGATTGTCCCCGAGGCCCTCCAGCCCCCCTCTGCCATCGGTGAAGTGCCCGTGGCGGGGAGTCTGCATCTCAGCTCTGCTGTCTCCCATCGGGCCCCTGCCCCAGCCTGCACCACCGCCACTCTCTCTCAGTTGCAGAAAATAAAAACTAAATTTATAAAAACAAATGACAATTAAAATAAGGAAATGATAACAATAAATGCAATTTAAGATCAAGGAAAATAAAGAAGTAGAAAGCTGGAAACTTAGGGAGCTGTCTGGTGAAGTAAAGGGGCCAGAGCATGAGGGGCCTGGGGCTCAGAGACCTTTAGGTCAGGTTTCCCGGCCCCTGCTTCTGAGGTTAGCCTTGTGGGCCGACCTACTCTCCTTTAGGTCAAGGGCTCGGCCTGGAGTGTGTGTCAGGAAAAAGCGTTCACGGTAACCAGCCTCGTACTTGACCAGGGTGAGGAATTTCACGTGGCTTCTCCTCCTTTCTCTCAGCACCAGGACTCCCGTTGGCTGTAGGGTCTCTGCTTTTGGCCTGTTTCCCCCAGACCTGAGCCCCTGCTATTCTGGTTGTCTCTGCCTCACGTCGTGGCCTAGAGATGCTGCTCACCTGGCATCCAGGGCAACTGGGAGTCTCGGCCATAGGGAAAAGGGAGGTGGTGGCACAAGAGACCCGCTCTGGGGAGAAGCAAGCTGGGCGCTGTTGCTTTGTAGTGTCAGTAATGACAAAGCTTGTGTTATACGTGGTATCCGGCAGAGCCGGTAATTCTACCGCCAATTATCGAAGCTAGCTGCTGACCCAGATGTCAAGGATGTGGTTTGGCTGAGCAGAAGCAGTACTTCTTACAGCCACTTGCTCCACTGTTTGCAGCGAAGTAACGTGGATGTAGGTCATTCCATGTTGAGTCAGGTTAAGTCTGTTGTATTTGAAAATGGCAATGAAGTCTATTTCCACTTATTCAGGTTTCAAAACGCGTCCCGTAGTTTTTCAGATGTCATCACTTAAATAAGAGGGCACTTAGGTCACGATTCCTCTCCTCATAAGACTTTTATTAATGCCAGACATGAAACAGTAAAAACATAGTGAATTGTTAAAAATCTGCACGGTTGTGGATACAAAGGTGGTTTGAACGGGGACCTAGGAGGAGGCCTTGAGAGGGGAAGCCAGGCCTAAGGGGAGCCATCAGTCTCGACCCGGGCCCAATGGCCACGATTCAGCTGCTGCGTGCTGCGTGGTGAAGTGGCCTGGACATTGAGTCCCCAGGGTCACACCGTGCCCTTGTAGCCAGGCTGTGTGCTGGGCCTCAGGGCTCCTCCCTCCCCAAGGAAGACTTAACTCCCAACGTTCCTGGGCCTGTGGACTTAGGCTTGAGACCCTTCGGTCCCCCTTTCTGCATGACAAAATGCCTGATCTGGAAGTATTTCCTCATGAAAGGAGACGGAAGGAAACGAAGCAAAAAGGAGATACAGAAAATAATGCGAGATTAATTGCTGCACTGTCCCGTTATGTTGATTCCCAAATCTTCTAGAAAGGTGTACTCTGCACAGTGTGCAGACATGCCATGTGTACTTGACTTGGAGTGGTATCTGGGATCATTTCTGTTAAAAAAAAACACAAAAATCCCTCAGACCCCATCAGAACCATAGCCCTCTATTACACGTGGACTATCTCTGCTGGAAAACAAGAGTTGGCCGGCATCACTGTGATTTGCGGTACCCTTCTCAGGAGCATATGCTGCCGTCAGCTCAAAAACTACCTGCATTTTGTGTCCCTGAATCATTATGCCTTTGTGTAGCCATCCATTAGCAGTTTTATCAAAGCAAGACATCACCCCCACACCCTGGACATGAGGGCGAAGTCATATTTCTTTACATCCCTAATCACTTCCAGACAAGTCACACTGCACAAATGTCTATTGTTTCGTGCAGTAAGTATGTCCCTGGAAATGTCTTGTAGAAACAGATTTTTGTGTTTTGGTCAACTGGATGACATTTCACTGCCGACAAAGTTTCAGCTGCATTTACTATTCCAATCTATCTTCAATCTGGTGAGCTTCTTGACACTTGGATGTACAATTTTTCTGCACTGGCCTTTGTCAGGCAATCAGTGAGCTAAACACAGGTGGCCCACACATAAGGAAGCCACCATCTATGGGAACTGGCAGCCTGTAGCCCTGGATTCTTGCCTGAGGCTCTGTGACTCCCTGCAAGTCACAGAAGGCAGAAGGCAGCCCCTTACAGGCTCTGGCCATGGAGCAGGCCGTGGGCTCAGGGAGCCCTCCCGTGGCTCAGTCCAGACTCGCTAAGGACTTAGTTAAAGCCCTTGGCAATTGGCCCCCATCTTGCTCTGGGAAGAAAATGATGTCACCAGACCGTGCTGCTTTGAACATCAAAATTACTTCTTTTATGGTCTGAAAAACCAAGATTTTGGTACTTACCTTCGGAGCAGTTCGAAACCCCGAAACCCTGCAGCAAAGCCTACAGTTGCCCTGCCTCACCCTGGCTGCCGCAGACCTGCCCGCCTACTTGGTCCATCCTCCTATATAAGACACCGTGGCAGAACAGTGGGCCGGAACCTGCTTACTACCCGGTTGTTGAGGTTTGTCCTCTGGCCGCAGGCACTCAGAAGGATCGGCAAAGGGCGTTATGTAAAACTCTGAGCCCAGTCGAGCCTGTTGTCTGCGTCCCCTGAACCCCAGTGCCCCACAGAGGAAGGGGTGACAAGATGCCCTCATGGCATGCTGGGAATGTGTGCGGTCTCAGGGGCTAGTCGCCACGAAAGCAGAAGGGAAAAGTAGCCAGGAAACCTGAGACTTGAAGTCACCGGTGTTTGGTTTGTTCTTTGATTTTGTTTTGGATCAGAACTATATCACTCAGAAGCTTGAGTCCAGCACAGGATGGCCAGGGACAGCTTTCCCCGAGGTGGCAAGGGGACCGTGTGAACCAAGAACGCATTTCACACTGACTGTTGGGAGGTGTCTCTAATGGTAACCGCTGATTGTGTTCGAGTGCCCCGTTTGAGCACCATACAAAGAAACCCTGGCTCGACAGGCATACCTTTCAAGTGAAAAAGCACCTGCTCGAGATCCTGTGAAAGGGAGAGGAGAGGATGAGCCACCCCGTGTCCGCACGTGTTTCCCACGTGTCTCTGAAGTCATCCTAAGTGACTGAGGCAGCATTAGACGGCGGAAGGAGCCTGACTTGCTGTCTCACTCCACGAGTCGTCTTGGGTCAAGCGTTCCCCTCTCTGGTTCTTGGTATTGTTTTCCTCAAAGTGGGAGCAGTGATCTCCGCCAAGCCTAGCTTCCGAGGTCTTTGAGGGGAAGAGGTGAGACGATGCGTGTGAAAGCATGCCGGGAGAAAGCCAACAGCAATGGGACACCAGCCTCATCTGATGTGCTCCTCACGGACCTCGGGACTCAAGGCTCCTGTCACTCGCATTGTCCTTCTGCCACCATCACTAGGCTTGGTGTCTTGCACTGTGCCTTCAGGGGTGGGGACAAGATGGTGCCCAGGCGCGTCTCTCCTAGGATCATTTATGATTCCAGTGGAAGCACAGGAGAGAGATCGAAACTTCAGGCGTTGGAGTCAAAAGATGTCATCCTGTTGGCTCCAATCTGCACGTCAAAGGCTCCACCGGAGAAGATTTCTAACGCCACTTTTGCTTTGATTGTTCCTACCCTGCCTGAATGGAGTTTTCTACATCCCGGTCCACCGGCCTGAGGCTTGGCAGGGGCCAGCGTGGCCGGTGACAAGGGCTGGCCTCCCTCAGAGCCCCCTGCCCGCAGCCCAGCCCCGTCACACTTTGGATTGCCTCTCGTCCGTCCACTCCTGCTTGGTGCTCTGGAGAGCTTGCGTCTTCTGCTCATCCACTTGGACATAGTCTACTCTTTGCTCCTCTGAAAAGAGAAGTTTCTGAAGGGGGAGAAGAAAAAGGGTTTCATTCCATCAAATTTAAAAATTCAGCACAATGTCAGTCAGTCTCTGGTGGATTACAGTGTCAAGTATTGGCTGGCCCTCCCTCCTGGGTCGTCACTTGCAGAAATGTCACGCTGCGGGTGAATGTGTGTAAATCTCTCCTCACGTCTGCTCCCTTCAACTTAGCTCTAGCCAGCTGACTCGCCTTGGCCAATATAATATGAGTGGGGTGACGGGTGCCCCTCCTAGAGAGGAGAGAGGCGTCCTGTGATCCTGCACTCTCCCTTTTTCCCCTGCCAGGACACCGGCATGCCTCACGTGGGGACCGTGATGGACTGTCCCACAGGCAACAACTGAGAAGCCTTTGCGGTCAAAAGCCACAGAGATTCGGGGCTTGTCTTCACTGCACAGCCGACCAGAACTGGCTAATGCACCGTCTGGGCTTATCTGTCTATCCTGCTGACCAGCTTTGCTGGAGTATCATTTTAGGTTTCTGGAATGAAATGAAAGGTTAAGGAGAAGTGGGAGCTCATTCAGCAAAAGGGAAGGGAAGCCACACACACAAAATGAAATTATACTGTATATTCTGTTCAGCAAGTGATTTTTCTCATCAAACGATATATTGTTAGCGCAGTCTAGACCATGACCATCCCGTGCTAAAAACTCTTCAGCTGTCGTCCACTGCTCACCAGCCATTCATTCCATGGCTTCCCCTGTGCAGTGAGTGACAACAGTCAATGGCTAAGGTCCCTCACATGGATTAACTCACTTAATCCTCACGACAGGCTTCAACATAGGCGTTATTTCTGCTGACCACTCTACAGACAAGAATACTACTCAAGGGAGTCAAAACTGCCCAACCTGGCACCTGAGGCCCCTTACGGAGCCGCTTCAAAGCCATCTGAGAGCTCCCGTCACCACTCCCCAGAGTCTAGCCAAGCAGGGCTGTCACTTCTTCCCTCAGCAGGCCCTTCCTATGCCTGGACTACACTTCACCCCACCCTCATCTCTGCCAGAGCAATTTCTCAACAAACGTCATGGTCCAAGCTTTGAAGAGCACGAATACTACATACATTCACACACGCAGACATGCAAAGAACACAGCCCCGAGGGAAATACACCAGGGCTTCTGGGAGGCAGAGTTAGGGCTGATTTTAAGATTCTTCACTGTACGTGTCTGTAGGTTTAAGACTCTGCAAAGAGAACGTCCACGGTGGAAGCATCCAAAACAAAATCCATACCGAAATGGAATCTCCTGGGAATTCTCAGACGCACAGTACTGCCTACCTGCTGCACAGGGGCTGGTGACGCCGAGTTGAAGTCCAGGGCTAAATAGTCCAGGCTGAATTTCCTCGTCCACGTCAGAGCTCCACTGCTCAGCAAGTTGGCTTCTCCGTGCTCCTCCTAGAAACCAGCGCCACAGGATGCGGGTTACCGACTTCTGGCCGGGCTGCCCAGGGGGCGAGCAGCTGCCATCAGACAACAGCGGCCCGATGAGTCCTGTGCAGCTCAGCCCGCACCTCGGAAGGAGAGCTGGCTTTGAAATACAATACAGCCCAGCTGGGCTTCACACGAAGCTATGCCTTCATTCACCATTGAAGCAGCTGGTCAAAATCTCCCCCAAGAAGGAATCATTTTACGGGTCTGACAGGCCCATGATACCTTAGAGACTTTAAATCCTGAAAAGCTCAATCACACTTATGAAAGCTTAAGTGAAGACATCCCAAATGCATTTAAAGATACTTTATACAATACAAACAGTGATAACGTGTGCAACACACACCCATGGCATCACCATCCAGCTTCGGAGTATGCCACCGCTACATGACACACACGGCACATGCCGAGGGCTGCGTTCTACTGCTGCCTTCTTGTTTTTTTTTTTTTTTTTTTTGCGGTACATGGGCCTCTCACTGTTATGGCCTCTCCCGTTGCGGAGCACAGGCTCCGGACGCGCAGGCTCAGCGGCCATGGCTCACGGGCCCAGACGCTCCGCGGCACGTGGGATCTTCCCGGACCGGGGCACGAACCCGCGTCCCCTGCATCGGCAGGTGGACTCTCAACCACTGCGCCACCAGGGAAGCCCTACTGCTGCCTTCTTGCCCCCCAAGGGGGTGAGTGCTATCTTGAACTTGGTGTTTACCACTTTTCTTTTTAAAGATGCTTTTATGAATGTGTGAGTGTCCTTAAGTGACATACTGTTTTGTTTTGACTGTTTTGAACTTTTCTCAGTAGAACCGTATTGTATGCATTTGTGGCGACTTCAGTTTACATACTTCGCGCTCGCCCATGTCAGTGTCATTAGCTTCATGATTCCATTACGTAGTCTATTTAACTGTTCCACCGACAACAGGCATTTGAGTTGTTTCCAGTTTGGAGGCTCTTACAAGCAATGCTCCTGTGAGCACTCACGCACCTGTGGAAGAACTTCTAGGGTGTGTCCCTGGGATGTGGGCCCCTTCAACTTGACTATCACCAGCCTGATACGAGGAACATGGTATTTTACTGTGATTTGATTTTCCACACCCTTGATAATTTAATTAATTGGCCATCCTTTCATATGTCTACGGGTCATTCATTTTGTTCTCTTCTGTGAATTATCTGTTTAGGTTTGTTTTGTTTTGCTAATTTTTATACTGAAGTGCTTGTATTTTTCTGATTTGCCTCACATATCTAAGAGACTAACAATTTGTTGGTTATGTGTGTTGCTAATAGCCCATCACAGTCTACAGTGGGTTTTTCTTGGTATTTTGTAAATGAAGAAATGTTCTCGCTTTCAATGTAATATATCAATATTTTCCTGAGTAGTTTGCTCTTGTATTTTGTTTAAAGAATTCTTCCTATGCTGAGGTTGTAATTTGTTTTCCCACATCTTCTTCTAAGTTATCAAGTTTTGTCCTTTACATTTAAGTCATAACCTAGCCTCAACTGATTTTAACATGTGGTGGTCACCCAGGGATACAAGTAATTCCCTTTTGTTCTGTTTGCACCCCACATGGGCAACCCTCCTTTTCCCAGTAATGCAGCCTCTGTTCACATATCACGTTCCCATATGTGAATAGCTGGTCAGTTCTACTGAATATTTTTGCTTTTCTCCTTTAACATGTTAATGTGCTTGACTGACTTGATAGATTCCTTTAATTTACGGTTGTAACAGCTCATCTCTCAGGGAATATCTGTAACAATAGATTTAAAAGAAACTGTTTTTCCTTCTGGCATAGTTTGTTTGGTTTCTGTCTTTATGCTAGAGCTTCCCTCTTGGGTCTGATCAATCATTCACTACAAATCCACCTGCTTTCCAGTTTCCAATGCGTTACCGTGTTTGTCTTCTTCAGTGCTTCACAGCCGTGTGGGTTTATGCCTTTAACAAATCCCTTACTGTGATTTTAGAGGAAGGTTTGGGACGGAGGGAAAACAGAAGTCTGTGGTCAATCTGCCATTTTTACCGAGATGCCCATGAACAGATTCTCAAATGTTAAAACCACTTTGCATACCTGGAATAATTCCAACTTGTTCGTGCATATTTTTAAAATTAATTAATTAACTTATTTATTTTTGGCTGCATTGGGTCTCCATCGCTGCGTGTGGGCTTTCTCTAGTTGAGGCGAGCGGGGGCTACTCTTCGTTGCGGTGCGTGGGCTTCTCATTGCGGTGGCTTCTCTTGTTGCGGAGCATGGGCTCTAGGAGTGTGGGCTTCAGTAGCTGTGGCACACCGGCTCAGTAGTTGTGGCACGCGGGATCAGAAGTTGTGGCTTGCGGGCTGTGTAGTTGTGGCTCGCGGGCTCTAGAGCGCAGGCTCAGTAGTTGTGGCGCACGGGCTTCATTTCTCCACGGCATGTGGGATCTTCCCAGGCCAGGTCGAATCTGGTCGAGCTCAATCTGCTCGAACCCGTGTCCCCTGCATTGGCAGGCAGATTCTTAACCACTGCGCCACCAGGGAAGCCCGTTCATGCATATTTTCAGTTTTATAAAGTGCTGAACTTATTCTACTAAAATTTTTAGGATTTCTTTTGTAAACGGCTTTACTGAGATATAGTTCCATAACACGCAATTCTCTCACTTAAAGTGTACAATTCGGTGGTGCTTAGGCTATTCACGTATTTGTGCAATCATCACCTCAATTAGAATATTTTCATCACCCCAAAACGAATCCTGCACCCCTTAGCCATCATCCCCTAGTCCCACTATCTCCCCAAGCTCTAGGCAACCACCACTAATCTAATTTCTGTCTCTATAGATTTGCTATTCTAGACATGTCATAGAAATGGAATCATACAATATGTGGTTGTGATACTGTGATTTACAAGAAATATATATTTGGTCATTCAGATGGCCAAATATTTATTTCTCATATATAGTTGGTCTTCAGTCCACGATTCCTGGGTCACAGCTCCCAAAACCCTTCGAATTTCCTAAGTGTTGAGAATGACAGAGATGTCTCTTATTATAGGAACGAGGTGGCACCTGACAACGTGCCTCCTACTTGCGAGGAGAACCAACCATGTGATCAGAAGCTTGGAACTTTCAGTCCCACTCCCCGGCTCCCACCCGATCTCCGGGGAGTGGGGAGGTGCTGGAGCTTGACTCAGTCACCAACGGCCAATGATTTAACCAGTCATACTGTATAATGAAGCCTCCATAAAACCCAAGAGGACTGGGTTCAGAGAGCTTCTGGGCTGGTGAACACCTGGAGGTGCTGGGAGAGTGGCCCCTGGTGACGGCGTGGAAGCTCTGGGCCCTTTCCTCATGCCTCGCCCTGTGCCTCTCTTCCATCTGGATGTTCATCTGTATCCTTTATCATATCCTTTTATCATAAACTAGTAAACGTAAGTAAGTGCTTCCCTGAATTCTGTGAGCTGCCCTAGCAAATGAGCCAAACCCAAGCAGGGGGACGTGGGAACCTCCAATCTGTAGCCAGTCAGTCAGAAGCACAGATAACAACCTGGGATTGTGACCAGCAGCTGAAGTTGGAAGGGGTGGGCAGTCTTGTAGGACTGAACCCTTAACCTGTGGAATCTGACGCTAGCTCCCGGTAGAAAGTGTCAGAATTGAGTTGAATCCTTGGACACCCTGCCGGTGTCCGAGAATTGCTTGGTGTTATGTGGGAACCCACCCCAACCAACACGCACACATCCTGGAATGGGGTCCAGAAATCCCAAAGAGTGGTCTTTTGTGACTGGCTTCTTTCACTCAGCATATTGTTTTCAAGGTTCATCCTTGTTGTTTCATGGATCTGATTTCATTGTATGGCTGCATAACATTCCACCGTGTAGCCATACCACATTTTATTTACCCATTCATCGTTTGGTGAACATTTCGGTTGCTTTCACTTGTTAGCCATTATGAAAAATGATGCTATGAACATTCATGTGCAAGATTTGGTTGGACTTATTCTTGCTTAGGATTTTTTAACCTTCATGAATGAGTGAGATTGATATATAATTTTCTACTTATGTTAGTGCTATTTGTTTTGGTATCAAGTTATTTTAGCTTTATAAAATAAGCTGGGTAATATTTCCTCTTTTTGCCATTCCCTGGAGGTGCTTATATAAGACTGCAATGATCGCTTCCTTTTGATAGAAAGTTTCTGTAAAGTTTTGGGGGCCTTGTGATCCTTTGTAGTAAAAATTTCCCTACGTATTCAGTTTCTCTAATAATTTGTGTTTTCTGTTTTTACTTGAGTCAGTTTTTAATAATATTTTTCTGAGAATTTGCCTATTTTCACTAAAGTTTTCAAATTCACTCAATATGAAGTTGTTCATAGTATTCTCGCGTCATTAATCTCTGATGTATTTGCAATTGTTACCTCCTTCCTTTGCATTCTTAATATTGTTTATTTGCATGCATTGCTTTCTCTTGATTGGTTGCGTTCAATTTTAATCTCTTAAAAGAGCAAATTAGGTCAGTGTTGATTCTAATTTTGTGGTTTATTTTGTTAATTTCTCACCTTTATTCATATTCCTTTCATGGGGTTTATTTCTTCAATTTATTACTATGGAAAATTTCTAATAAGCAGCCAAATTGAAGAAAACATGCTATGAACACCCATACACCTACCATCCACGGTCTACCACTAACATTTGACTACAATGACCTATTTGTGAGTCTTTGGACTGAGGATTGATGTCTTTCACGAACTGTGAGAAACTGACATTATCCCTTTACATATTGCTTCTCTATTTTTTTTCCTATTATCTCCTTCTGTAACGCCGACTGGACAAATGTTGGACCTTCTCGTGCTATCTTCCATTTCTCAACTTTGTTTATGTCTTTATCTCCTTGTCCTGACTTATCAGGAACTTCAAAACTATCTTCTACTTCACTAAATTACTCTTTGGGTTCAGTCTGTTTAACTCACCCGTTGAGTTTCTAGTTTCATCCCTATTTTTATGTCTAGAAGTTCTAAATGGTCTTTTCTAATCCACCTGGTCTTTTTTTTTTTTTTTTTTGCGGTACACGGGCCTCTCACTGTTGTGGCCTCTCCCGTTGCGGAGCACAGGCTCCGGACGCTCAGGCTCAGCGGCCATGGCTCACGGGCCCAGCTGCTCCGCGGCATGTGGGATCCTCCCGGACCGGAGCAGGAACCTGCGTCCCCTGCATGGGCAGGTGGACTCTCAACCGCTGCGCCACTAGGGAACCCCCACCTGGTCGTTTTTAAATAGTATCTTTTGGCTCAGTCCAACTTTCAACTCATCTTACTTTTTAAATATATAAAACATGTTTTTTTATATGTGAAATCTAATATTTCTAATAATGACTTACTTCTCTAGGTGATTTTATCTTTTGTAATTCCTATTGATTTTCAGGATTTGCAAGTTCTCAATACCTTTGGCCCGAGAGATTCCCCTTTCCTTTCTTGGCAGTTGAGTTTTGGATTTACAAAATACAATTTAAAACTATATTCTCTACCATTTTAAGATTATTTTTATATGGTGGTCATGTGGTTTTCACGGTACCTTGCCTACTGAAGTGCTTCATCAAATTAAAAAAAAATAGAACAGGGACTTCCCTGGTGGTGCAGTGGTTAAGAATCCACCTGCCAATGCAGGGGACACGGGTTCGAGCCCTGGTCCGGGAAGATCCCACGTGCCATGGAGCAACTAAGCCCGTGCGCCACAACTACTGAGCCTGAGTGTCACAACTACTGAAGCCCGCGAGCCACAACTACTGAAGCCCTTGCGCCTAGAGCCCATGCTCCGCAACAAGAGAAACCACTGCAATGAGAAGCCCACGCACCGCAACGATGAGTAGCCCCCGCTCGCCGCAACTAGAGAAAGCCAGCACGCAGCAAAAAAAAAAAAAAAAAAAAGAAAGAAAGAAAAAGAAAAACAAGAACAAAGCTGGAGGAATCACACTCCCTGATTTCAAACTATATTATAATCCAAGTAGTGTGGTAGTGGTAAAAAAACAGACGCATAGATTAATGGAACAGAATATACCCCATAAATAAATCCATACTTGTGTGGTCGATTAATCTACGACAAAGGAGGCAAGAATATACAACAGAGAAAAGACAGCTTCTTCAATAAATGTTGGGAAAACTGGACAGCTACATGCAAAAGAATCAAACAGGACTACTTTCTCACACCATATACAAAAACAAATTCAAAATGGATGAAAGACAAATACCAGACCTGAAACCATAAAACTCCCTGAAGAAAACATAAACAGTATATTCTTTGACATGGGTCTTAACAATATTTTTTGGTTACGTCTCCTCAGGCAAGAGAAAGAAAAACATAAAGTAAATAAAAGGGACCACATCAAACTAAAAAGCTTTTGCACAGCAAAGGGAACTATCAATAAAACAAAAGGGCAGCCTACTGAATGGGAGAAGATATTCTCAAATGATACATCTGACAAAAGGTTCATATCCAAAATATACAAATAACAAATACAACTCAACATCAAAAAAACAAACAACCTGATTAGAAAATGGGCAGAGGACCTGAACAGACATTTTTCCAAAGAAGACATACAGGTGTCCAACAGATAGATGAAAAGATGCTCAACATCACTAATCAGCAGGTAAATGCAAATCAATACCACAATGAGACATCACCTCACACCTGTCAGAATGGCCATCATCAAAAGAACACATGTAACAAATTTGGTGAGGCTGTGGAGAAAAGGGAGCCCTCGTACACTGTTGGTGGGCATGTAAATTGGTGCAGCTGCTATGGAGAACAGTATGGAGGTTCCTCAAAAATTTAAAATATGATTCAGTAATTTCATTTCTGGGTATTTATCACCCCCCAAATACAAAAACACTAATTCGAAAAGATACATGCACTCCCATGTTCAGTGCAGCAGTATTTACAATAGCCAAGACATGGAAGCAACCTCAGTGTCCATCAATAGATGAATGGATAAAGATGTGGTATACGGATGTGTATATATATGTGTGTGTGTGTGTATGTACATGTGTATATATATATATATATATATATATACACACACACAAAAGAAAGTTTCCCACAAAAAAAAAAAAAAAAAAAAAAAAGCAAAGAAATCTTGCCATTATGACAACATGGGTGCATCTAGAGACTGTTATGCCAAAGTGAAATAAGTCAGAGAAAGACAAACGCTACATGATCTTACTCATACGTAGAATCTAAACAAAACAAAAACCAAAAAGCAGGGGTTTCCTTGGTGGAGCAGTGGTTGAGAATCCGCCTGCCAATGCAGGGGACATGGGCTCGAGCCCTGGTCCGGGAAGATCCCACATGCCGCGGAGCAACTAAGCCCATGCGCCGCAACTACTGAGCCTGCGCTCTAGAGCCCGCGAGCCACAACTACTGAGCCCACGAGCCACAACTACTGAAGCCCATGCACCTAGAGCCCGTGCTCCACAACATGAGAAGCCACCACAATGAGAAGCCCGCACACCACAACGAAGAGTAGCTCCCGCTCGCCGCAACTAGAGAAAGCCCGCATGCAGCAATGAAGACCCAAACAAAAACAAAAACAAAAAATGAAAACAGACTCACAGATACAGAGAACAAATGGGTGGTTGCCATAAGGGAGGGGGTGAGGAGTGGGCGGAATAAGTGAAGGGGATTTGGAGGCACACACCTCCATTATATAACCCATGGGAATGTACTCTACAGTGTAAGGAACAGGATCAATAGCATTGTAGTAAGTCACAGAGGGACAAATGCTTACTAGACTTATCACGGTGACCATTTCATTCAATGTATGCACATGTCAATCATTACGTAGTACACCTGAGATGAACAAAATGTTGAACATCAACTATATTTCATTAAAAAATAAAGTAGCTAAAGAAGGATAGGTGACTTTAATAAAAGAAAACTTGTATTTCAGCCCCTAGCTTAAATTTTTACATTCAGATAAGAACTTGTCCTCAAAGAGAAAAAAATTATGCATATGATTATGTGCAAAATTGAAACTGAATTATATTAGTTCTGTCTACCAAATGGGTTGTTTTGTGGAACAAGTGAAATAATGTCAATCAAAGTCATTTGAAAATGTCATATTACTGAATTTAAAGCACACAATTGAGTGAGATGGGATGGGCTTTAAATTCATTTATGGGGTGGTTCCCTCAGAGCTACCCTCCTTCAGCCAGTTTTCTGGGCTCTTAATCTACTGTGTCATATTGCCTAGCAATGTACAGAGACAGCCATTAATCAATGATTATATACAGGCAAGAGACCAATCCTGAATTATGCTGTTAATGAAACAGTGGTCTTTCTCACAACCTCAAAGATCAGAAATAACTGCTAGTGTCTGGAATGATTCTGCACTTGCTTCTATGAGGCTATAGATTCACTTCCCTTCTCTGTTCTCTGGAGACAAAGCACAGCTGGGCAGTATCTTTTATAAGAGTGTTTTCTTCTAGAGGTTTCCCAAGGGCCATTACTAAGTGTGCAAAATATTGGGAATACCACAGCAGACTGGATATGAGTCACCTTCCACCTGCACGTGGGTACTCACAGAACAATCTGTCAAATAGAAAGGCAAAACGAAGCATTTAATTGCTGCTTCACTGGAGATGACCATTTTGAGAATTTTAAATGCCTGTTATTGTCACGTATAGGAGGGCCGAGTTCTCTTCTCAAAAGTATATAGTCTCAGTGCCTTGAACACTGTCCTTCTAAGATCTCTTTTTCAAAATTTCATAGTTTAAACAGAGATTCTCTCTAGAGTTCCCTACATTTTAAAGTTCTGGCTAAAGGGCCTGATAATTGCCAGAGGTGCTAAAAGACCCCCTTTCTCTTCAGTGATCCTTTCTCAACAGAATCCAAAGTAGAGAGAATGGAAGGGACAACAGAGGGCAGGAGGAGAGATTGAACCATAAATCGTTCATCAAAGGATCGAGATGTCGGGTCTCTGTGCACTCTGGGCCACAGAAAGACTCTACCAGGAGTCTCCAGAGACTAGACCCATCCATGACCCGGGACACTGGGCCACCCTCCCAACGGGACTCTAAGTGATTCATCTTTGGTAAAGGTTCGGAGGCAGTCAGGGCAGGGCTACCCGGTGGTGTGGTGGAAGGGGACATCCAATGTGTGAGTTTTCACAGCTTAGACTCTGGACATCCAGGAAGCTACAAACCTACTGGAGTCAAACACAATATCCCAGCCATGGTGAAAAGAGTTGCTAGCATTTCCATTTTCCCATTACACGTTGCAGCCCTGGGTACACTTAAAACTGTGGCCTCAAAGTGGTACGAGGAGCTGAATATTGCAGGAAAGAAAACCGACTTCATAACAACTTGTTCCCAGTCTGGAAAACATTGTAAGCTGGTATTACAGTCAAGTAATTGTTTTAAGATTGCACAGGACTTTCTGAATGCTATGTTTCCTTTACAGTGAACTGATAATATAGATTGGGGTGAAGAATAAGAAGAGTGTGAAAAATACAGGATTACCATTTGCATGTAGCTTTGTTCCTCTTCTCTGGAAACAGAATTGGCAAAAAATCTTGCAGGATTAATACCATTTCTTTCTGGAGAGAGAAAGCTGGTTCGATTGCTAAGAACAGAAATATAGGTGAGGTCAAGGCAATGTCTTACAGCTGCTCTGAAAGCCAGCCAAGAACTGACATGGCCCCTCTGGGCTTTTGGCCCTCGTCCCCGCTTCCCCATGCAACTTCCTTCTGGCCAAAGCAATTCCTGAACCAGGAGAGAGACTACCCCGCAGCTGCCGTCCTGCTATGGGGAAAAGGGTTCCCAATTCTCAAAGGCTATTTTTTTTCCAGGCCCTCCATGTGACACAGCTCATGAGCTTTCTAGAAAGAGACCAAGGCATCATATCATTTAGAGAAAAACAAAACAAAACAAAAACCCTCCTTTGAGGCTCTCTTGTTTCCATTCAAAGTAACCAGGAAAAGTAAGGAAGTGTGGTCATTCCTTTGATAGGAATCCACTTTCATCCAAGGCTCTGCAGTTCTGTCTGGGAATGTAGTTCACTGCAGAACTCTGCTTTACAGAGCCGTTGTGTCTTGCAGCATATAGGGTGAACTAAGAAACTCCCAGGCCAGGCTCAGGACTCTGAAATTCCTACAAGGACTCTGAAATTGCTACACGGTGAGATGAAAGAGTGCAGATACGTTTTGGGGTTTGTCTCCTGAGCCCACGTGAATTGGGATTGAAAAAGAACCTTTCTCTGTTGGTACTAGGGTTGTAGCATGTAAGTAAGGATCTAAGGGACAGCCATCTCAGGCCGTGAGGATTGTGCAACAGAGAAGCAGATGTGAGAGACAGGTTCCCAGCAGCACTCTTGTTCCCGATTCCATTGTCCTGGGAGATTGACTTATGGTCCTTCCTCTGTGACCTACAAAACACTTCCAGCTCGGGATAATAAATCCCATCCCTCGTTCGACTTAAGCTAGATCGAGTGGGCTTCGACTTCCTTTAACCACCGAGGCCTGAGTAACGCTGGGAGTGCACCGGATGAGGCCCCTATGAGCCATCAGACTCACCAAGGCACAGTGCGGGTCCTGGTGAGAGACGTGTGTTCCCGGATGGTGGAGAGGCTTTTCAGGTCCAGGGGAGGTGACCGTGCTACAAGGTAACACATGACAACCAACATGGTAAGTTCTCAGGGGTTCAAGGCCACAAACTGAAGACTATAAAACTATGACATTCCATCAGATCCACATTTACTTACAAGCAGTGCTGACGGTGAGCGTGCTTTTTGCTGTCCTACTCTTCCCTGCCTCACGGGGGGTAGAGGGGACAACCACCGAGCCAGTGGCTACACGATCAGCTGGGCTTACACCCAGTCGCTACACACTTATCGAGAATTCACTGTCAGGCATGGTTCTAGGTGTCCCAAACTGAAACTGTACCTTTCTTCCCCATCTCTCTGCCTTAGTTAGAGTCATCTTCGGACCTCAGCTCAACAGGTCCTGCTTAGGAGGAAGGCCTTCTTTGACCTCCAGGCAAGATAAGGCCCAGCTCATGGGCTGTCACGAGTTCCTGTGCTTACCCTTCACAGCACTCGCCCACTTCGTGACGATACATTCAGCTGTGATGATCTGATTTGGCTCTAGACCGACCGCGTTCTGGGAGCACAGGGTTTTCTGGCTTGTTCACTGCAGTAGCCTTGGCATCCCATTCCCCCTCAGCTGCCCGACTTGCTGAGTTGGTCGTGAGCGTATTCCTCTATTGCTGCCTTGACCAGCTTGGTTTTCTAGCTCTTTCCTCCACTAGGCCACACAGGTGGAGAGTGTTTAACTCCGCTCCATATTGCCAGTGACTTTCGTGCTGCTCAATCAGTTGCCCAGGAGCCTCAGACCTGCCAGGTGCTGAGCTGGAAAGGACATATGCGTCGTGTAGTCCCCGGGGAGAAGGTCTCTCCTGGCTGTGATGCACCCTGGTCTCGGCTTCACTGACCAGACGCCTCCTGGCTACACCCCCTGCCTCTCCTGCTTGGGCCGCAGGGTCCAACCCCGGAGCCACACGTGTAAGAACCAGCCCCTCCTGGCCCAGGCGTCCCAATTAATCCACAACCACACGTCCAACCAAAATCTCTGCGCCTCCATCACTAGGTCTTTTAGAGCTCTAACATCCAACGTGGTGGCCACTAGCCACATGTGGCTATTGAAATTTAAATGCATTAAAATTAAATAAAATTAAAAACTTCAGTTCCTCAGTTGCACTGGCCATGTTTCACTTGTTCAACAGCCACATTTTCCTCGTTACAGAAAGTTCTGTTGCACGGCGTTGCTACAGAAAAGTCACTGAGCAAAACAACAGTATCTACCTCAAAGTTACAGGTCCCTGTGAAATGGTTTCTGGCCAGCCTGAATGGCTACTTCCTCTAAAGCTCACGAGACAGGGTCTGTTCCCCTATTTAGTACCTATTGAATGCCTCTACTTTTTCTTCCAGGTGGTTTGGACATATCTTTCTCCCTGCTTGCTCGCTCATCTGTGCCTCTCCCAGAAATGTGATTTGACTCGAATTGAAGAGGGGGAGCCTGGAGAGGACCGGGCATAAGCAGACGACTTAGTTCCAGCTCTGGGCGGGGCCACCTGAAGCAGCAGAGCCGGCGACGGAGCCAACGGAGTGTCAGGGGTCATGGTCACGGTACCAGGTATTTCCTTGGAATCGCCCAGCCCTACTGGGCAGGTGACGACGAGCGAAAAAGGAAGTTGGCAAGTTACCCTGACCTGCTTTTGCTCGTCCCCTCTTCGCCCTCCTCCCTGCCTGTTCCGGCCGCTCACCTCTATGTGCCCCCGCCCCACACACCTCTTCTGCCGGGCGCTAGCAGGGCACTGAGCGACGTGGCATGCGACCAGGTGTGCATGAGGAATCAGTGTCAAAGGCCATTCTTGGCTGCCTTACACAAGGTGGACGCCTTTGTTAGGGAAGCAGCCAAAGATGAGTCCTCTGGAGTGAACTTGGCTCCTTTCATCCTTAGGGTCCTCCCCACTCAATCCCAGCCATTTCTCCCTGCCCTTGTGCTTCCCAGGCCTCTGGGCTGGTTTCTCTAGTGTCCCCTTCCCAGAGACGGTCAGGAGGGAAGCTTTGCCACACGGCTACCAGGCCTTGCTCCCCAGTCCCACGCAGCAGGCCTGGGGAAGTAACTTACGTTTCCTCTGAGGCTTGAGATCTCTGTTCACGGGGGGAGGCTCCAGGTCCGCCGGGAGCTTGGGCAATGGGCTGGAGATGCTTCCTGAGCTCATTGGGATGTAGTCGTCAGGGCTGCAGTGGGGTCCGAGAGCAGAGGCGGCGGCCTGGGGGCTCATGGGCACGTAGCTGTCCTCAGTGCTGGCGGAAGCTGGAGGGGACATCGGGAAGAACCTGCACGGCTGCAAGGGAAAGCACAGAACAGCCATGGAAACTGCTTCCAGTGGGCAGCCTCGGCTGCACATGGCATTTCAGTTGCAGATTTTCCAAGAATGACTTTGAACTTGCTTAGGAAAGTCAGACAAGCCTCTAACTCAAGCTCTGCCTCTGGACTTAGCGTGTGAGGTAGGTGGTGACTCGCCTAGATCTCATGCCAGAAGACAGAGGTTAATGAATTTATGCAAACGCTTTAAGCATCATGTGATGACTTCAGCAGGTGCCCCAAGTTTGGGGAAGCGTCTGGACCATTAGAACTGGCAGGGTCCTCAGAGCACACAAAGTCCAGTAGCTCCCAGACAAGTTTAAGCCTTAATGGGAGACTGCAGGGGTCCTCAGAGATTCACAGTGCTGTCTTAAAAGACATCATGGGAACGTAAATAGGTCAGGCTATTTTTCTGGTAAAAATTGAGGCTTAAAGAAACTCAAGTACCAAACTTACCAAATTTAAACTTAGCCGCTTATCTCGGTGTCTTAAAGATTGGCCTTCTACATCACCTGCAAGAAACAAGCAGGGTGGTGAAAAACGCGGACAACATCAATTGACGCTAGGCTCCTAGTACCTGTGCACCTCAGGGCCCTGTGTGCAGCTCCAGGGAGGGAGAGAGACTTGCTATTGAGTCTAGCTGGGCAGTCAGAACACCTTCCCCCCACAGATGGAAAGCGGACCAGATTTTGAAGAGGTTGCTGTATGATGGCTTCAGTTCTCTCTGTGAACTGGGGAGAGTCAGAGCCAGTAATTAACAAATGCTCGTTGCATTTGTTACATGAATTTTCTGCACTTAGAGATGGTAGAGGCAGAGCTGGAGGTCTGAGGAGAGGGCAGCAGGCGTGAAATAGCCCTTGTGATGAGCAGCAGTGCGAATCGGTGACCATGAATTTCTGAAGCAAGAGTCAGCGCCTCAGGTACAGATCCGGAGAGAGAGGAGAGCTGGATGAGTCCAGGATCAGACATTTGTGAGACGGATGTGACATAAACAGTGTGACGTAAACATTTAGAATAGCTGTGGAACTGAAATAGGAGATGTCCAGAAGGTAGCAAGATATATGGGCCTAGATGCAAATGAGACCTGCTCAGAGATGGCAGTCAAAACCTCAGAGGAGAGGACATGATCTAGGTTGTAGATGTTGAGAAAAGGTTAAATATAAAATCCTAGAGACTCTCAATATTCAAAGCGTAGGAAGATGAGCACTGGCTCATGCTGAGAGAGAGCAAGTGGAGGAGGAGGAAAGGCAGGGGCCCCGAACTGCGAGAGCCCACGGGAGGAGACGGCGGCCGGTGACGGGGAACACCGCCAAAAAGGGCCCTCAGCACGTGGGCACCGCAGCAAAGTGTCTCCCTAGAACTTGGACATGTGGAAAAGCCAGGCTGCCTCTGAGAAATAAACTGAAGAGTCAACATCATCTTAAAGCAAGAGAATAACTCCCAGCTCAGAATGATGTGATGGAGATTGATGGAATTAAGACCAGACACTATCAAACTCTCAGAGGAAAACCTAGGCAGAACACTCTCTGACATACATCACAGCGAGATCCTTTTTGACCCACCTCCTAGAGAAATGGAAATAGAAACAAAAACAAACAAATGGGACCTAATGAAACTTCAAAGCTTTTGCACAGCAAAGGAAATCATAAACAAGACCAAAAGACAACCCTCAGAATGGGAAAAAATATTTGCAAATGAAGCAACTGACAAAGGATTAATCTCCAAAATTTACAAGCAGCTCATGCAGCTCAATATCAAAAAAAAAAACCAATCCAAAAGTGGGTGGAAGACCTAAATAGACATTTCTCCAAAGAAGACATACAGATGGCCAACAAACATGAAAAGATGCTCAACATCACTAATCATTAGAGAAATGCAAATCAAAACTACAATGAGGTATCACCTCACACCGGTCAGAATGGCCATCATTAAAAAGTCTACAAATAACAAATGCTGGAGAGGGTGTGGAGAAAAGGGAACCCTTATGCACAGTTGGTGGGAGTGTAAATTGATACAGCCACTATGGAAAACAGTATGAATGTTACTTAAAAACCTAAAAATAGAGCTGCCATGTGACTCAGCAATCCCACATCTGGGCGCATACCCAGAGAAAAACAACTCAAAAAGATACATACACCCCAATGTTCATTGCAGCACTATTTACAATAGCCAGGACATGGAAGCAACCTAAATGCCCATCGACAGAGTAATGGATAAAGAAGATGTGGTACATATATACAATGGAATATTAGCCATAAAAAGGAATGAAATTGGGCCATTTGTAGAGACATGGATGGACCTAGACAGTGTCACACACAGAGTGAAGTAAGTCAGAAAGAGAAAAACAAATATCACATATTAACCCATATAAGTGGAAACTAGAAAAATGGTATAGATTATCCTATTTGCAAAGCAGAAATACAGACACACATGTAGAGAAGAAACGTATAGACACCAAGGGGGAAGGGGGGTGTGGGATGAACTGGGAGACTGGGATTGACATATATACACTATTGATGTTATGTGTAAAATAGATAACTAATGAGAACCTACCGTATAGCACAGGGTAACCTACTCAATGCACTGTGGTGACGTGAACGGGAAGGGAGTCCAAAAGGGAGGGGGCATATGTATATGTATACGGCTGATTCATTTTGCTGTACAGTAGAAATTAACACAACATTGTAAAGAACTATTCTCCAATAAAAATTAATTTTACAAAATATTGAAATCATAATCCAAGAAAAGGTCCACAAATAAAGTAACACTTGAATCTAATATTGAAAGGGCCCATCAAGTACCTGGAATAAATAAATGGTCAATTCTACCCAGAATGTAAAATCTATTAAAACATTATATCAATAAAAATGACAGAATGAAACAGATGAATTAAATACCCAGTCCAAAGCTAAAAAAGAACGATAGAGAAAATGAAAAGAAATTATAAAATAAAGATAAAAGCAAAAAATAATAGAGTACAGAGAAATAGTGGAATTAATTAATTTTTTTTTTTTTTTGCAGTACGCAGGCCTCTCACTGCTGTGGCCTCTCCCGTTGCGGAGCACAGGCTCCAGACACGCAGGCTCAGCGGCCATGGCTCACGGGCCCAGCCACTCCACGGCATGTGGGATCTTCCCGGACCGGAGCACGAACCCGCGTCCCCTGCATCGGCAGGTGGACTCTCAACAACTGCGCTACCAGGGAAGCCCTGGAATTAATTTTAAAAAATCAAAATCTTGGTTTCCTGGGGAAAAAATATAACCTAAAGGCAACCAACTAGCCAATCTAATCAATAAAAGAGGAGGGCACAAATATGCAAAATAAGAATTGACAAGGAAAAAATTAGCATTGAAACAGAGGAAATTTTTTTAAAAAGAGACAATTCTGCATGACTTTACACAAATAAATTTCAAAATCTAGATGAAATGGATAATTTTCCAAAAAATACACCACAGCAAAATTGACACAAAAAATTTCCAAAGAATAAAATAGACAAAGTTATGAAGATCAGATGGTTTCAACAGACAATTTTACCAAAACTTCAAAGACCAGACAGTCCCAATGCTTCACAAATTTGGTCAAGAGTTTAGAAAATCAAGGAATATTTCTAATTCTTTTTATGAAGCAAGTATAACTTGGTAGCTAAACCTGATAAACATAAAATATATCAGAAAAGTACAGACTAATATCACTTATGATTAACAATGCAAAAATCCTAAATAAAATATTAGCAAACGTCACACCCTCTTTGAACCATTACTGTAAATCTTCTCACTACCCTCTCCAAGTTGGGACACACAGTTTTAAGGGTGTTCACCTGCTGCGGCCCCCTTTGCCTGGCAAAGCAATAAAGCTATTCTTTTCTACTTCACCCCGCAAAAAATATTAGCAAACAGAGGAAGGTGGTATTATTGGAATGGCTGAATGAGGAGCTCAGAAAAGCCATTCTCCAAAAAACAATGATACAAGTGTACAAAACTATTTTTAAAACGTCAAGCACAACTAACTGGGGACTCTGAAAATTTACCAAAAGCATACAACAAAATTGTTGTATATTATATTGGGAAGGATTTATTGGAGAAAAAAAAAACAACTAGTGGACATCTGGTAAGAACACTGAGAATCTGTGGCATTTTAGCTTGGGGTGCTCCCATACCCCTCACCAGCTCACTCAGAAGTAGTTCTACCAGGGCAAGGCAAGTCGTGAAGACCAGAAGCTTCTTTGCCAAAGGGATCTAATTTGATTTGGATCAAAGCATATAAAAAACTCCATTCCTCTAGGTACTATCAAAAGCACACCAACAATTCATTTCATTGGGGTTCCAGGAGAAAAGAGAGAGAAAAGCATTGAAAATGTATTTGCAGAACATATGGCTGAAAACTTCCCAAACCTAAAGAAGGAAACAGACATCCAGGTACAGGAGGCACAGAGGGTTCCAAACAAAATGAACCCAAACAGACTCACACCAAGACATATCATAATTAAAATGGCAAAAGATAAAGAGAGAATTCTAAAAGCAGCAAGAGAAAAATAGTCATTTACAAGGAAATCCCCATAAGGCTATCAGCTGATTTCTCTGCAGAAACTTTGCAGGCCAGAAGAGAGTGGAGTGATTGATTCAAAGTCCTAAAAGGGAAAAACCTGCAACCTAGGATAATCTACCCAGCAAGATCATCATTTAGAATCGAAGGAGAGATAAAGAGCTTCTCAGACAAGCAAAAACTAAAAGAGTTCATCAATACTAAACCTACCCTAAAAGAAATGTTAAAAGGTCTTCTCTAAGCAGAAAAGAAGGAAAAATCTATAGGAAAAAGGAAATCCCACTAGGAAAGGCAAATATATAGTAATGACTGAGGATCAACCACTTAAATAAGCCAGTACAAATATTACAATACAAAAAATTATAAAATCAACTATAACTACAATAAAGAGTTAAGGTATAGACATGAAGATGTAAAATATGACATCAAAAACGCAAAATGTGGGGGAAGGGAGTAAAAAATGTAGATCTTCTAGAATTTGTTTGAACTTGAATGACTATCAGTTTAAAACAAGTAGATAGGGCTTCCCTGGTGGCGCAGTGGTTGAGAGTCTGCCCGCCGATGCAGGGGACATGGGTTCGTGCCCCGGTCCGGGAAGATACCACATGCCACAGAGCGGCTGGGCCCGTGAGCCATGGCCGCTGAGCCTGCACATCCGGAGCCTGTGCTCCGCAACGGGAGAGGCCACAACAGTGAGGGGCCCGCGTACCGCAAAAAAAAAAAAAAA